AATAAATAAAAGCATCCCTGCTTCTCTCCCACATCCATGTTTCTTTCTCAGAGCTCGGTTGTCTCAGCCCTGAGGTTGGTGCCCAGGCCCACATGACTGCCCCATGGAGCTTCTCCCTCTGGGAGTTACCCTAGCTTCTGGAAATGCTTAATGTGACTCCTCTTAAGATATAAATAAATAAAACAAAGCAAACAGTTTAGTTTTTTTTTTTTAATTTATTTTGCTTTTTAAAATTATTTTACTATCTGAAGGTTTATCAGCTGGAGATTATAAATATTTTCCTAAGGACTATAGATAATAGAGGGGTTCAGATTCTTGCCTTGCATGCAGCTGACCGGTTGGATCCCCAGCACCACATATGTTTTTGTGAGCACCATCGGTAGTAATCCCTGAGCACAGAGCCAGAAGTAACCTTTGAGGATAGTAGAACAAAAACAAAACAGCAACACAATAAGATTACCCTAGAGATGATGCAGGATTTAAGACCTTTGTTTTAAACAGACTCAGGTTTAATCCTGGTACCATATAACGGTTCCTTGATCAGCACTAGAAGGGCCTCTGAGCACAGAGTCAGGAGTAAGATCCAAATAGAGCCAGGTGTGGCCCCCTCTTCCCCCTCTCCCACCCCCAATTAAATTAAACATAAATAGATGTCTTACCGTATTTAAAGTAGTAGAGTCTGACAGATTATAGGCCCTTGTAATTAAAATCGTAGCGTGGATTGTGTAAATCAGGCTTCTGTTTTGCTAGAAAGGACAGAATTGGTGGACTCTGGGAGAAGGGTGATTTGTAATTTGTGCAGAGGATATGGCTTTGGAGCAGGGAGTCCTGGATGAGGTTCAGTGTGGGTATCAGGAGCATGCTGTGGCATGAGGACAGAGCTTTTCTGAGCCTGGGAGGGTGGGTAGTTGCAGGTATTGGGGTATAAAACCTCAGGCTTGTGGAGTGGACTGAGATATTTCTTTGTTAGCTCTTCACGTTTTCCTTTCAAACATAGGCAGATTGCCATGGAAGTGGAACCCTACACTATCTATAACATTTCTCAACTTGGCTTCTTTCACTAAACATATGCATGTGATAACTGATGTGGTTGGCATGTATCCATGGTTTTTCTTTTCCATTGCTAAGTCGTATTCCACTTGCTGAAGGTATACATTATATTTATACCCCTAGCCAGAAGACATTTGTGTTGTTTCTAAATTTTTAAAAATTATTCATATAATTTTTAAACATATATGTCTATGTGGACATATATGTTTATTTTTTTAATTTTTGCATACAAATAGGAGCGCTAGTTTGTATGTTAAGTATATATTTAACTTTGTAAGAAGCTGCCAGTGTTTACATTCACACTGACAGTATATGAGAGTTTGAGTTGCTTCACTTCTTTGGCACAATTTAGGATTGTCAGTTTAAAATATGATTTTAGCTATTCTCCTAGTCTGTAGTAAATCTCATTGTGATTGTAATTTATAGTTCCCCATTGACTGATGATACTGCACAGTTTTCAAATGCTTTTTAGTGATATATATCTCTTCTCTGGTGGAATAACTTTAAATTAGTTGCCTTTTTCGGTTGGTTTCTTGTTTACTTACATATTTTGAAATCTTTTAAAAGTATGTTCAGAGGTCAGGGAGATAGCTCCAAACTTAGGATCACATGCTTTTCATGTGCTGGAACCTGAATTCCAGCTCAAGCATCACATGAACCTATTAGCACTCCTGGTATAGACTGGAGGTCCTCATCAGTTCCAGATGTGGCGAGGTCACCTGCACCACAAGGCCCACACAGCAGCATGTATTCAGACCTTAGCATTAAACTATCCAGCCAGCTTGCTTACTATCACCAAGAGTGACCCACAGTCCCTGTGAGCACTGCATGGGAGCTCCCCTCCATGACTAAATATTTTTTAAAATATTAATTCAAAGCACTGTCAACTACCAAGAGTATCCCACCCACACGGCAGAGCCTGGCAAGCTCCCTGTGGCGTGTTCCATATGCCAAAAACAGTAACAAGTCTCACAATGGAGATGTTACTGGTGCCCACTCAAGCAAATTGATGAACAACGGGAGGACAGTGCTACAGTGCAATGGAGTAATTAAAAAAATAAAAGCACATTCTGTTTATGTTCTTTAAGTAAGGCATGTGATTTACAAATATCATTTACCCAGTGTGTGAGTTGGATTTCACCCTGTTAATGTATTTTACAAAGCAAAATTTTTTAAATTTAATGACGTTCAATTTATCACAGATTTAAAAATGGGTTGTGCTGTTGGTTGTCATGTCCAAGAACAGTATAATTAGGGCCATTGTGTGGAAGAAGTGCTTGTTGATCTAATGACCCCTTTTTTGGACGAGGAAATAATGGAGCAACACCCACTGTTACTAATGTTTCATTGGAAATACCTGTTGTAGAGTTCGTTTGAAATGGTGTGATTTTGAGACAGGTAGAAAAATAAAAGAATGGGTTTGACATCAGAATGATCAGAGTGAAAGCCTGGCCAAGCCACTTATTGATGTGACTCAAAGCAAATTATTTACCATTTGGGGAACTCAGTGAAAAGTATTAACAGTGATGCACACTTCACAGGCTAAATGTATGACAATATTAACATACTACTGACCCTCAAAGTACATAAGTTGTAGGTTCTTTGCCATTATTTAAATAAAAACTTTGTTTATGATAAAAGTAAAATAAACAAACAGAACCTGAAAAATGTAACTCACAACTTAAAAATGGAGTTAATTGCTCTTGTTTCTACCTGGATTTGTGTGGCAGAAAAGAAAAATGTTTTCTTCACAAACTCAGTCTTGTACAGAATCTCAGAGCCCAGCTATCCTAATATGTCAGAATAAAAAGAAGTGATCTTTGCAGTAGCATGAGAAAATGAAGAAATACAAAAGTGTTTCAGTTATGTTTATTAGCTCTGGCCTTTGGGCTACTCTGTGCCAGTTTTCATGTGATTCTCATGAAATCAACTTTTTAATTCCTAAAAGTTACTCCCTATAATTATAACATAGTGGTTATAATGCCATGGCAGAAATTGTGAAAGGTGTTGTGAGATCAAGACAAGGACAGAGGGGAGAGCCTGGGTGGGTTAGCTTAAATATAGCATCTCAAAGTAGTATCCTGACACATTGTTTTCTTCTCTTCAAAATATTTTAGGACTGAAGCTTCCTACCCCACTCTTGCATTTTAATCCCCTTTCTTGGCATGCCGTGGAGCTTCTGGCACCTTATGAATGACTTCTCTCATTCCCCCCTTGGGCTTGTGTTCTGTCATCTGTGGCTGTCGTGGTAGAGATGCAAATAAAAGCTCTTTTGAGGTGAATTGGAGTCAGGGTGGCATTTCCTGACTCCAGCCCAGCAGGGGTGGCAATGATGCAGGGCCCTTTGCAATAAATCTGCACCTCTGTTTCTCTTGTCCTTCACAGCAGCACATTTACTCTTTGGGTCTTTTACCTCCTTCCTCGTGCACACCTGGTTGCTTGCTCCCCAAACTGTCTTTATGCTGGTTGCTCAGATGCCTCCTACACACACCCAGCCAATACTTATCCTGGTCATTCTAGCCTGAAAGAAATTTAGCTTTTCCTAGGTGTAATTCTGGCATAAGTAATGTCTTACACTATACCTTTTCTTGGATCAAATTGTAAGGTTCCATTTTTATTATCCTTCTTTGCATTTCGTACCTTCTGTTTTTCGTTTGTTCTACTTATTCCCTTCAGCCTCAGGTTCCTGAAATTCCTCCTCCTCCTCAAACCCACAAATCAATTGATGCTCCCACTTTTCCCCACAGATTTTTACCCCTCATCTCTTGTGTTCCTGTGTATTTCAAAGTCTATCGTGGGTGTCATGATCCCTCATTGTAATGACTCCTTTGTGTCCCCCCCTCCTTCCATAGCCATCATTCTCTTACACTCACTGAATGAATTTAGCTGAATCTAGGACTCTTGTTTATTCTGTCCTTGTTGCAGCTGAATATGGCAAGAGAAAATGTCTACTGATCTTCATCAGGATACCCATTTCTCTTTGTTGACTGCAAAATGGCTCAAAGGGAATGTTCACATCTACATCCTGACTTTGCATTTTCCTATTTTTCACTGCCATCATCTTTTCTTCAACATTGCTCCGCCAAAAGGCTTACCAAAGATCAGTACATTCAAAAAAACTTTCCACATATCTGGTGCTTGTTTTTACTTGATCTATTGGTAGCTTTGTGCTCTCTAGAGTCAATTGTGCTTTAATTTTTCTTCATAGCTCTTCCCCCTCAGTCATAAATGTGTTTCTATATTGACAACCATTTGAGAATGGGAAAATTGTACACTTTTCAGAGTGCCTGGTGCATATAAAACTACCTCAGGATGTTAAAAAACAAAACAGTATCAAACTTTTAACTCTTAGATATCCCCTTTCCTGCCATATTATGGCATGAGCATGTAAGACTAAGAAAGCATATTTAGAATCAGTGTATATTTACTGTCTTCAGCCATTTTTCAGGCTCGAGTGAGAGGGACCAAATCTGCTTTTGAGGTGTAGTTTCCCCTGACAAGGCTTTAGCATCCTCTCTCCTGCTCAGACTTAGAACAGCATATGCAGTTTTTCAAGTCCCTTTATAAACTAGGCTACTGTCACCTGTAAAGCAAGTTTTGCATCTGGATTATTGAGAGTTGTGCTTTTTTAAATCAGAGCTACTAGAATATACTTGAGCTAAATGTTCTAGCAAAATGTGAAACCCTATAGAACTTAATCTATTTTAACTATAGTTAAATAGAACAGTGCTTCCAAAACCTTGTTCAATGAACTCTTTGAATACCTGTAATTTCAACCACTGTTTTTGAAAAGTTTGGAGCTCCATAGATTCTGACCTTTTCGCACTCATGAGAGGAGGTTGTAAGATGCCTGAGCTATTTTCAAATAGGCAATAAATGCATTTGGTTAATAGATGCTAAATTTTACCATGTTTCCATGGTGAAGTGAACTGCTATTTTCTGTTTTAAAGGGAACCAACTGTTCATCCTCCAATACCTCCAAAGCCTAGTTCTCCTATTTCATCTCCTCACATGCTGAGAAGGGATAATAGGTAAGACCTGAAATTTCAGGATTTCTTGTCAAAGTGAAGCTCAAGAGATATAAAAAGCATAATGTGTTTTGTACAAATCATGGGTATATTGTGTATGCACGTTCAATACAGAAATCTGTGTAAAGTTTTTCTAATTTGCCAACACAAAAGCAACCTAAGGCTTGCCTTTGAATATTTATGACCAATAACTACTTTGTGTAAATAGACCTTCAAGATAGAATCCAAATAATATTTACATCCAAGAAGTATTTTATGCTCAGTTTTCTTTTAATTAAAAAATTTTAAGATCATATAGTAGGAAACTGTCTCCAATATAAAAATAAATTTATATACTCATTTAATATATATTACATATATAGAAAACTCAGATCTCCCTTTAGTGGCCACATTTTTCAGATGAAAGATATTCTTGAAATTTGTGTTACTGCTCCATTCCCTACTTTTGTCAGAAATATATACAGGCTATTTTTTAGCCTTGTTTTAGCTAAGAAATTTATAATTTATTTCAAAAATAGCATAAAGTTTGGACACTTTTCTAATTAACTTGTCTCTGAATAAAGCAAAAAGGACAAACTTACATTTTTTTGTATTGAATCTCCATCACTCTTTAATAAATATGAGAAACAAATTCAGAGATATGAAAATATTCATATGCATTCTTTGTTAAACTTTATTAATCTAAAGTCATCATTTTCAAGTCTTAAATTGCACATTTCCATTATCATTATGAAAATTTTTAAATGGCATTTCGGGGGCTGGAAAGATAGTACAGCAGACAGGACACTTACTATGTACATGGCTGACCCAGGTTCAAACCCAAGAACCTCAAGTGGTTGACCATCTCCAAGAGTGATCCTTGAGCACAGAGCCAAGAGTAGCTCTGAGCAGGGCTGGGTGTGTTCCACAAGAAAAAAAAATCTGAGTGTAGATTACATCATTGAGTCTTTAGATGGTCAGCCTTTGATTTCTTTGTGGGTTTGGTTTTTTTTGGCGGGGTGGGGGGGTTGTGTGTGTGTGCGCTGGTGATATTTTTGGCATAGCGTAAGAGAAATCTGGAGCTAGCAAGAGAGCGCTAATGAGGAGAAAGAGAATCCTGTAGCATTTAAGGGCTCTACCTTCTACCGAGTTGAAAAAAACAAGGTCTCAGTTCCTATGCAGCAAAACTTCACAGGACTTTTGAAATTATGTCCTTATGGCTGAGAAGGTTAAACAAAATTTCAACAAATCAAGAGAACATTTTGTTGAATTAATAAAAACAATCGACTCAACCAGGTTTATAATTCTATGTTTATGTAAAGATTATAATTATACTTTAAAAATAACTTCTCAAGGTTTTTAGCTTGTGTTGCTTTTCCTTTTACACTTATTATACTGAAAAAATAATCTAAATTTGAACAGTTTTTTTAAAGAAGGGCTAACTTTAATTGGATTTAGTATCACCTAAATTTTTATCTAAAATCAGATGTCTAGAGCAGTGAGCTTGTGTGGATTAAAAGAAACAAAATTCCATGAAATTAGTCTAATTCATTTTTACTACTTAATTTCTTTCTTCCACTAATGATATTAAAAATTAAATTAGGACAGCTGGCATCTTTTAAGTCTTGATTGCTTTAATCACAGAAAGATGATTTTAGTGAAAGAATATGAAAAGGAAGTGTTTCTTATGTGATTAATACATGTCCCCAGGGGTACAAAACTAGTTGAATATAGTTTCCTGAGAGCAAGCAAGAATGTATAAATAGGTCAGTCAGATACTTAGCAAATGAGTAATGCAAAGCCTTGCACTATAAATTTTGACAACCTCCTAACATTAAAAATCTTATCAAGTTAATTTAATGTGGTCATTCTCAGAAAGGTGGTATAACTGCAGTTATAAAAGTGTTTTCCGTCATACCTGATCAGATATTTTCTGCATTGTTTATAATGGGATAAGCTTAAAAAACTATTTAATAACTAATAACAAACAACATTCTTGATATTTTATTTTATTGTTTTGGGGACACATCTGATGATGCTCAGGGCTTTCTCCTGGCTCTGAGCTCAGGAATCACTCCTGGGAAAGCTCAGGGGACTATATGGGATGTTGCGGATCAAACCTGGATAGGTTTTATGCAAAGAAAACCCCCTACCTACTGTACTATCACTCCAACCCCCTAGATTCTAGAATTTAAAATAGAATATGATTAGTTCAAACCAACCAAAAGTGAATGAATTTTTTTTCTTTCTAGTAGCATTATGTGGGCTGGAGCGATAGCACAGCAGGTAGAGCGTTTGCCTTGCACGTGGCCCACCCGGGTTCAGTTCCTCCGCCCCTCTCGGAGAGCCCAACAAACTACGGAGAGTATCTTGCCCGCATGGCAAAGCCTGGCAAGCCACCATGACGTATTCAATATGCCAAACACAGTAACAAGAAGTCTCACAATGGAGACATTACTGGGTCCACTCGAGCAAATCAGTGAGCAACGGGAGAACAGTGCAGTGCAATGTAGTAGCATTATGCACTCAAAACACTTTGATCTCTTTAAATATGTGTATTTTCTTTCGAATTTAAATTTAACAGAAAGTGTTTTCTTATGTAACATATATTATCTTTAACTTTTAAAATATAGGAAGATATGTCCACCCAAACCAGGTGTATATACAGAAACTAACAGAGACACTGAAAGAAATATAAGGTATGATGACATATCTGTATCTATGAAATGGTAGAAATTAGAAATGTTATTAGAACACATAGAAATTTAAAAATTGATAATATAATTCATTTTATGGCTAACTTCTATGTCAGTAATAGTTTATATGCACCTACAGAATTTTTTTTGTTCCTAAGCTTTATATAACGAAAACAATCAAAATTGTGTGAACATAAATAATAGAATAAGATCAATCCCCATAAGACAGGGAAATACTTGTTCTGCAAACAGTTTTGTCAGACTTGGTTGTACAAGGTTCCACCCACCTCCACCTGCAGAAAAGTTTCACAAATTATACTGTAGTTTTGGGGTAGCATTTCCCCATGACAATCTTGATTTATTCTTTTGCTTTACAAGTTGCTGTACTTTTGTTTTTTAAATACAGTATGTACATGTGCATAGATGCTTGTGCATGTATGTGCATATTTTAAAATGACTAATCTTTAACACAGATAGACGTATATTTAAGTATCATGCACAACACAGAAAACATAATATAAAATATATTATTTTACTTGGGAGCTGCCAATACAAGTCTTTTGGAGAAACTGTAGTTATTTCAATGAGCACTAGATGGCAGGGCCAATACCCACATGAAACGATGGAGTGCATAAGTGAGTGTGTGTGTGTGTGTGTGTGTGTGTGTGTGTGTGTATGTGTGTGTGCATGTGCACATGCATGTGCAGCACAAAATGGTTGTGATAAGAATGTTTTGTTATTCAGTTAAATTAATTTTACTGAAAAAGTGAAAAAAACAAATGATCACAAAATGAGTCCACTGTCTCTGATGTGTGTTTTTGCCCTTTTTGAAGGAGCCAGGATCTTGAGAACATTGTCAAAGTGGCCACTTCGCTGAAGAAAACTGACAAGGGGTGAGATGTCTGAGCCGTTGAATTTAGTCTTTTCTTTTTGTGTTTCAAAAGTGCCTAACCAGAGTCCTTTAAAAGTTCCAGATATGAACAGAATTCCAGTATTCACTGAAAAGTAGGAAAAACTCTCTCTCTCTCTCTCTCTCTCTCTCTCTCTCTCTCTCTCTCTGTCCCTCTCTCTCTCTTGCTCTCTTTAAATTTTATTGAATCACCGTGAGATGGTTACAAGCTTTCATGTTTGGGTTACAATCAAATCACACAATGATCAAACACCCATCCCCCCACCAGTGCACATTTCCCACCACCAATATCCCAGGTATACCCCCCCTTTCCCACCCTCTCCCTGCCTCCATAGCAGAAAATACTCCCCATACTCTCTCTCTATTTTTGGGCATTATGGTTTGCAATTCAGGCACTGAGAGGTTATCATGTTTGGGTCTTTATCTATTTTCAGCACACACCTCCCATCCTGACCGGTTCCTCAAGCCATCATTTTCTTAGTGATCCCTTCTCTATTCCAGCTGCCTTCTCCCCTTTTCTCATAAGGCAGGCTTCCAGGTATGGAGCAATCTTCGTGTCCCATGTATCTACTATCCTTAGATGTCAGCCTCATGTTATATTGTTTTATACTCCACAAATGAGTCAAGTCCTTCTATGTCTGTCCCTCTATTTCTGACTCATTTCACTTAGCATGATACTGTCCATGTCTATCCATTTATAAGCAAAGTTCATGACTCATCTCTCCTAACAGCTGCATAGTATTCCATTGTATAGATGTACCAAGTTTCTTTAACCAGACATCTGTTCTAGGGCACTTGGGTTGTTTCCTGATTTTGGCTATTGAAAAGAGTGCTGCAATGAACATATAGGTACAGACGTCATTTCTACTGTGCTTTTTTACATCCTCGGGATATATTCCGAGAAGTGGTATTGCGGGGTCATATGGAAGCTCATGTGGATATGGGGGAAAACGGACACCCCTTCACTGTTGGTGGGAATGCCCACTAGTCCAGCTTTTCTGGAAAACAATGTGGATAGTCCTTCAGAAGCAGTGTCTCTTGACAAGTGTGGAACTGATTCCTAGGTACTCTGATAGCACAGCGGGTAGGGCGTTCGCCTTACAAGCGGCCAACATGGCCGACCCGAGTTCGATTCCTCCGCCCCTCTCGGAGAGCCCGGCAAGCTACCGAGAGTATTCGATATGCCAGACACAGTAACAACAAAGTCTCCATTGGAGACGTTACTGGGCCCGCTCGAGCAAATCGACGATCAACGGGAGGGCCTTTACCTTTACCTTTACCTGATTCCTCCATATCCTCTTCTGGTGATTGTACTTATTCCCATGACTCCCTGCTGGCCATGATTTCACCTCATTGCAAGTTTTTAGTTTTTTGTTTGCTGCTGGCCTGGATTTCTACCTGTCAATTTCTTCACCACCCATCTAGAAAGTCCCAGCCACAGTTAACATCCCTCTCAAATATGCCAATTCTTGCCCTTCCTCCTTTCATTATGGCCAGCTCTCCTTTCTGGGATTCTTCTTAGTGCATCCTTTTCCTCTGTGCAGTATCAGACATGTATAAATTAAATGTATGTATATATGTATGCATACACTTATATGTGTATATATGTTTATCCAGTTGAAATGTATACATACCCGTCCCTTATACATAGATTATCCAGATTTATGTATTATAACCTTCCATATTTCTTTTCCCTAGGCCATTACCACCCACCATAGCAGCCCGAATTTTCTTTTTTTTTCCTTTGACCCACACCCAGGGGTGCTCAGGGCTTACTCCTGGCTCTTTGCTAAGAGTTAACATCTGGTGGGGCTGGTGAAACCATATGTGGTTCTGGGGGCTGAACCCAGACTAGCTGCATAGCAGACAAGCACACTACTGTGCTCTCTCTCTAGCCTGCAACCTGAATCTTCTTTCCAAAATTATGTTGAAGCAATCATTCCACTGACTCTTCAAAGCCAATTAATTATATATAAAACATTATGCAAGGCCATTGCTACTCTATTTTGGCTTCAAATATGTTTCAAGTTATTTCTAATTTCATCTTTATGTTTACTCTACATTCAAAACCAAGTTAAACAACTTTAATTCTACATGCCTTTGTATGCCATTCTGCAGTCTTTTCCAGTCTTGAGGCCTTGACAATCCCCTCAAGCCCTACTCATTTTTCAAGATCCAGATCAAACATCATCTTCTCCATTTGATTTCTGACTGGCCTAGTGAGAGATAACCTCTGCCTCATTAAACTATCAAAATTCCTATTTTCATGTTTCATAATAACTAATCTTATTTAATGTTGTTTCATATCTTATTTCTTATAACACTTTAATATTTCCTAAAAAATTCATTTTTCTTATTAAGTACTGAGCCTGACATGGCACTTAGTGCATAGGAGATGTTCAAATAATAAATTTTTATGGAAAATAATGACAGTCAATGAGAAGACTTGTAGACCTACATGATTTGTAGTTGAATGGCATCTTATTAAGAATATTCTTGCTTTAAAAATTTAGCATTACTAAAAAGGGATGGAATTAGGTCATTAGGGATTGTAGTCACACCAAAAGTATTGAATGGAAGAAATAAACAATGCTAAACTCTTCTATGCAAATTTATAAATAAATAGGAACGTTGGCTTCAGACAAGGCCTGTAGAAACTGTCCTGAAAGCTTTATTTCAACTTTCTTTCATCTAAGTGTCTAGATCTTTGATTTTTATTTTGGTTTGAGATTAACACTTCACTTTTAATAGGGAGTGGACAGGTTATTTGGTGGGTGATTGAGGTGTTTGAAGGAGAGCTAGGAGTGCAATACTGCAGGGAAATTATGGTTTGGCTCAATCAAACAAATGCATTGAGAGCTGTGGTTATTTAATTTTCCTGTTCCTTCTACCTAACCACACACAGATGCATTCTTCACAGGGAGAAATAGTTGCTCTGACAGGCCCCAGGGGAAATGTCTGTTGTATTGATATAGTCCAGCACTATGGCAGAAAGCCATCCATAGGGACTAGAAATAGATTATTTATCCAAGCTGTTCTTTGTAACACTCCTTTGGGAAATAGATGTTTACTCCTATCTGATTAGAAACATTTAATTTATTTCAAATGCTATGGTGAAACTTAATATCCAAAGCTTTTATCAGTTTAAGGTCATTTTAAAAGCTCAACTTCTTTATTCAGAGTACAGTCTCCATTTTATGTAATTTACAACAGAGTATCTTCTCATGATTTATGCTAATTTTCTTGTGATAACAGAAGCAACCCCAAATCCTGGTTATCTTGTTATTGTGACTCACACCAACCAGTGAGAAAGGTCAGGACTAAAATTTACAGGATTCTTAGGTTTGCTTTTTGCCTCTGGAGACATGGACAGATTGAAAGGTAGAGTTGGAAGGTAGAATTTCAAGCCTGAAACAACAATGGTGCATTGTATCAGGAGACTGGATAGTATTTGTCCTACACAAAGACAGACCGTTAATTTCTTTCAGGGTTAATAGCTTTGATATTGTGTATTTATTCTCAGCTTTCAATTTTGCCACTGACTGTGTAATATTGCTTGAAAGACGTCATCATTATGTTGAATATTAATCTAGCATGCTTTTAGGGTTTTGAAGAGCTCTCTCCCCGCAGTTATTCTGGGGAGAGGTTGTGCCGGGCATCTTCATAACTCCTCATTGAGCCAATGAGTCTGCCTCTCTAAGACTGAGCCACAGTCTTGCTATCTCTAAATGCAGTTTAAGAAACAAATATTACAACATTTATTACCTGGAAAAAATGGTGTTTTCTAGAAACTGTATATTATATGCTCAAAATTAAGTGAAAGCTTAGAACTTTTCAGGCATCAGACCAGGTACTTTGCATTTCATTAGCTTATTCTTTTCCAAGGTGGACACAGTTAGTACAAAGAGAAAGTTGGGGCCTGGAAAGTGAGGCAATGAGAGGTTGTATGACTCATTCTGAATCTCAAGCTAATGGTGGTGAATCTCGAATTCAAGTCCAGGTATCCCTGAATTGGGAACATGACTGTATATCTACTAAATTTCTGGCCCTCACAATCATTAATCAACATTAAAGATGATTTAAGGGGCAGAAACAGTAGTACAATGGGTAGGGTGTTTGCCTTGCATTCAGCCAACCTGGTTGGACCCCTGGCAAGCCATCGGGTTCCCCAAGAACTGTCAGGAATGTTTTCTGGGTGCAGAGCCATCAGTGAGCCATGGGCATCATTAGGTGTGGCCCAAAAAATAAAAACAAATTAAAAAGATGATTTAAGAAGAACAGAAAGAAAGTGTGAGAAGCATATGATTCTAGAGTAGGAAGAAGGGAAAATCATGGCTTATGAACTGAAAAACTGATGAGGAAGTCAGGGGAAGGGGGTGCAAAGGAAGTAGACATAAAAGTTGAATTTTCTTTCACTTTTTGCTACGAAGAGCAAACAGGAACATCTACACCCACCACTAAATTGCCAATGTCTCTCAATCACAGTCCACTGGACGCCCTCCCCCATCCAATGACTCTGCTTCTTCCTCTGCCAGTAACCGCAGTTCCAAGGGCTTGTTTTTATGTGACTTTATCTGTTCCCTTGATTTGTTTCTCTGTATCCTACATTTGAATGAGAACATTCAGCACTTGTCTTTATCTTTTTCACTTATTTTTCTCACTATGGAGAGTTCTTAAAATATTAAAATACCATTTATTCTGTCAATTTTACATCTAGATATCTATGCAAAGTAAACAAGCATACTAATATAAAAAAAAAGACATGCATAGCCAGAGGGATGGTACAGGGGTTAAAGCACTTGCCTGGCACACAGCTGTCTCCAATTCCATCCCTCACATATGTCCCCCAAGCACCACCAGGAGTGATTCCTGTGCTTAATTCCAAGAGTAAGCCTGAGCACCAGTGGTTGTGTCCCCAACCCCCAAAATAGCAAAAGAGAACAAAACAAAAACTATCAAGCACAAGATATATGCATACCTTGATCCATTTTAGAGCTTTTTAAATAGCTAAGATCTGGAACCAATTTGGGTTACTAGTGACAGATGAGTGGATAAAGAACTGTGGTATATCTACACAAAAGAATAGCATGCTATTGCAAACAGAATTTTTAAGGTGTAGATGACATAGGTAGATTGTATTATATTTCAGAGAACTTGGAAATAATTGTTTTAAGATCTGTCCTTTGACTGTAGACACAATTTGTACTGATATAAGATTTTTTTTTCTTCCAAAAGTGAAGAATTAGATAATCTTATCAAGATGAACAAAAGTTTGACCAGGTAAGATTGTTAAATGTCTATTTAAAGATTTTTGTTTTCTTTTGTTTTGTTTGGGCTGGAGTGATAGCACAGTGGGTAGGGTGTTTGCCTTGCACGCAGCCAACATGGCCGACCCGAGTTCGACTCCTGCACCCCTCTCGGAGAACCTGGCAAGCTACCAAGAGTATCTTGCCCGCATGGCAAAGCCTGGCAAGCTACCCATGATGTATTCAATATGTCAAACACGTAACAACAAGTCTCACGATGGAGATGTTACTGGACCCGCTCAAGCAAATTGATTAACAACGGGAGGACCGTATTATTACCATATTTGTTTTTTGGGGGGGCTATACCCACCTGTGCTCAGGGCTTATTTCTGGCTCCGAGTTCAGGGACCACTTTCAATGAGAGTGATCATATGTGGTGCTGTACATCAAACCTGGGTCAGATGCATGAATGGCAGTGCCCTGCCCATGATATGATCACTCCAGCCCCTTTGCTTTTTATTAAATTGCATATTGTGAATTCACATGGGTTTTCTTCAACTTTGAGTATGATGACCCATGTACTGGAATAGTAAAAGATATCCCACACATCTTTTAATGAAAGTTTAGAAAAATTATCATTATCCCATCATTACTATGAATGGTTGTTAAAAATATGAAGATGCTAATATTAAAGTGAATTTGTATAATTTATATTTGTATAATACAATATATTTGTATTTGTATAAATATTTGATTATACAATTTATATTGTATTTGATTATATAATCACATTGCTCTTCCTGAAAATCTGGTGAAATAGTGTCAATACAGAATGGATTTGGCCACCAAATATTACTAACTTTACTTGTACAAATTACTTTATTAGTTAATAGTTTTTCTTGCTTTTAATGGGCTGGAGCGATAGCACAGCAGGTAGGGCATTTGCATTGCATGCGATGGACCTGGGTTCGGTTCCTCCGCTCCTCTCGGAAAGCCTGGCAAGCTACCGAGAGTATCCCGGCCACACGGCAGAATCTGGCAAGCTCCCCGTGGCATATTCAATATGCCAAAAACAGTCACAAGTCTCACAATGGAGATGTTACTGGTGCTCGTTCGAGCAAATCGATGAACAACGGGAGGACAGTGCTACAGTGCTTTCTCTTAATTATAATGCATAATTTAAAATTATTGTGATTAATATTTGTGTTAAAATATATGACATTTTAGCAAGCTTTCTGTTGCTTTGCATAGTAACCTGCTAGGCAAGCAGGTGCCAAAGAGGAATAGAAGTGAAGCAAAAATTAGATGAGTTAATTGAACTGAAGATCAAAAGGTGTGTTTTTATTGTCATTCTGACAGCAATGACACATATGGCTGACTGTCAGCAACTCACTTAAAATTTGTGCTTTTCTGTTTTCTCATTATAAAGATAAGAGATATTAAACCAAAAACCACAGAATTAATAGATAGTACAATGGGTAACATGCTTGCTTGCCTTGCCTGTGGCCTATCTGGATTTGATACTCGGAATCCCATATGGTCCCCTGAGCATTGCCAGAACTGATCCCTGAGTGGAGAGCCAGGAGTATGCCCTGAGCATTGCCAGGTGTGGCCCCAAAATGGAAGGAAGGAAGGAAGGAAGGAAGGAAGGAAGGAAGGAAGGAAGGAAGGAAGGAAGGAAGGAAGGAAGGAAGGAAAGAAGGAAGGAAAGAAGGGAGGGAGGGAAGGAGGGAGGGAGGGAGGAGGGAAGGGAGGGAGGGAGGGAGGAGGGAAGGGAGGGAGGGAGGCTCAGCAGGCAGGGGTGAATGCAGGAGTGACTGTATAAAGCATAGGGTTTATGCCCTGGCAAAATGACCAGATGTTTCTGAAATCAATTTTGAGCCCAGAATTACAGGCCATTTCCAGGAGATACTAAAAATTCAGATTTCTGTATTCATGATATTTTTGTAAACATTGATTTGCATTATAAACAAACACCCTCCATGAATCCAAACAGTACATTTGGGTACCTATTGCAATTTATGGATTCTGAGTTTATATTTTTAAGGTCCACTTCTATTGTATATTTAAGATCCACGTCTATGTATTTATTTTTACTGAGGTTAATCAATATATAACATATAAATCTCAGTTGTATAGTGTAGTGATTCAGCATGTGTTTATGTCACGACATGTTTCCCACGATAAGTGCAGTTAGCACCAATCACCATACTTATTCACTATGTGAGTGTGTGTGTGTGTGTATTATGCAAACTCTTGAGATCTGCTCTCTTAACAACTTTTAAATTTATAGTAGAGTAAATTTTACTGAAATTTAACTTTTAGGTTTGTGAACATTTACCTATTTGGAATAAAGCAATTTTAAGAATTATGGCTCAAATTCTTTTGTTTGTTTGTTTTATTTCCTTGGGTGAGGGCACACCTGACAATGCTCAGGGGTCACTCCTGGCTTTTCACTCAGGAATTACTCCTGATGGTGCTTGGGGAACCATATGGGGTGCCAGGGATTGAACTGGGTTGGCCACATGCAAGGCAAGTGCCTACAGTCTGTGCTATAATATCCAGCCCCCACATGAATAAAATTCTTGGAGCTGGAGTGATAGCACAGCAGGTAGGGCATTTGCCTTGCACATGGTCAAACCGGGTTTGATTCCCAGCATCCCAAATGGTCCCTTGAGCACTGCCAGGAGTAATTCCTGAGTACAGAGCCAGGAGTAGACCCTGTGCATCGTCAGTTGTGAGCCGAAAAGAAAAAAAAATACTTCATCAACTGCTATTTCATGTGTTCTTGCATGGTTGGTGGGGAGGGGTTGGATACTCCCAAGTGATGCACAGGAGGCCTGGGGTCAACTCCCCATAAATTAAGGTGTTGGTGGATGGCTGCTGCTAGGACCTTGTGGTGCCAGTGGCCACAAGGTCACCCTGGTCACACCCACGTGGCACCTAGCAATGTGCTTCAACTGCCATACTGTCTACTGCCCCCTCCTCTCTTAAATGCACGTTAGTTTGTGTTTTGCTAGTGGTAGTGTCTGTTACTATTACTCATAAGGTTTTTATTTTATATGTTTAAAGAAATCAGGGTCTTGATGGTCTCTTCAGAACAAGTCCAACGACAGAACAAACAGAGAAAAGGTAAGTGCAACTGCCTATAACCAGAAAATATGATCTCTTCTAAGACTTGTTTTATTCTTTTAGACACTAACTAGTATGAAGTTATATCCTTTGGCATAAAAATATACTAACAGATGAGGTAGCTCTTTCAGTATTGTGTATTTAGTTCAGACATAACTACTCAGAAGGGTTTCTGCTCTTCCATTCATTATAAGTAAATGAGCAATTCATTAATGTTTATTATATCTGACCTTTCAAGACACCATACAATTTTATTTCAGCATGCAAGATACCATAGAACTTTATTTGATTTATTTTATGTGAATGTCTTTGTGTTTTACAGAGCCAAAAGTCTTGAAAGTCTCATCTTTCTGAATGCCCAGAAGGACAAAGATGGCAAAGGGTAACCTTTGAGTAGGACTCTCACAGGATTCTTTGATTACCTGCTAAACTGCTATATACAATGAGTCTAAGTCATTTCTTGGAAGAAACCTTCCACTCAGAATTCAGGGTCAGGCAGGCTGGTAGAACAGGGTTAGGACATAGCATACCACACTATAATTTTGTGTTGACAGGGCCACCAGCACATATTTGGTGACCCTAAAATGCTAGAGACCTTGATTTCCTCATCGCAGAATAAAGCTGTGACTTGGATGATCGCCAAACTTTCTTTCATGCATAAAAATGAAAACATTAGGTTGCTAATTAGAAATTACTACTGTTAAAGTAGTGGACTATAGTCTGACTTAAAAAATGAATCTGTTAACTCTAACACATTTGGTGCCAGGAGACTAAACTTTCACCATTGTCTACTTAATAATGTGCTAAGGCACTCTGGTTGGAATCTTAGCTGAGGAATTTTGTAAGTATAGTTAAGATATATTTGTAAATTTCATAAAGTTAATATAAATACTTTTATTTATTTATTTCATATTATAAAAATGGTTGATGTATAAGCAGTACTGAATTCAGAGCATTTAAGAAGCTAATTTCTAATTCTAGACTGACATACTAGAAAATTCACTTATATCATTGATATTGTCTTTCATATTGAAAGAAACCAAACCCTCAGCACTTTCATGAAAGAAAATCCCAGAACGGTCAAGAATAATAAAGGGTAAGAATCTATGAGATAAGTACTTCTTTTCTCCAGTTTAGCTATTTGCATTGCATTTGATTTGTTATTAAATTTTGCCTTATAAGATGATTATTATTTTTATTGTCTTATCATTTTTGGGGGGGAGTGAGGTAGTTAGCTCACATCTGGCTGTGCTCAGGACTTCATGCTCAGGGATCATTCCTGGATCTGTGTTCAGGGATTACTCCTGGAGGGATTCAGAGGAGGCCATATATAGTGCTGGTGATTGAACCCAGGTCAGTTGATTGCAATACAAGCACTTTATCCACTGTACAGCCTCTCAAGTCCCTGTATTGGTTATCTTTAAAAGACATTTTTCTGTCCAATCTATGTGCCAAAATGTATTTTAGTTTTCTAAGTCAATCTGGACGGCTGAATCTTCAGCCTTCTCTGATATAGAATATTTAGCAAAACCCATATAGTGAAAGTTGTCTATAACAATTCTACAAGTATTGAATGCATAAATAACATGTTACTCTATTTAATGTAAAAAAGCAAGTATTATTACAGGTGAATATTTTCAAATGGAGAACAGATGGAACAGGAAAACCTTGAATTGTCTGTAGATGGTTACAAGAGTTTCACAGGAAAAGTTAAGATTTCCTGTTTATAAAGATTCCAGAAAAAAATTGACATAAGATTTTGATGTATTTCCTCCCAAGAAATCAAGATCTAGAACCAGTTACCAAAGTGAACACTAGTGCAGACAATGCTAGAAGAGGGTGAGTATTATTTTGGTATTTCTGAATCTTGGTTATTACTTCCCAGAATCATGTGTAATCTTTTCAGTGATTTCAGGGATCACATCTTTGACTTTGTCTTTTCTCTTATATGTCTAATTCCTGGGCTGGAGCGATAGCACAGCAGGTAGGGCATTTGCCTTGCACGCAGCCAACAAGGTCTACCTGAGTTCGATTCCTCCGCCCCTCTCACAGAGCCCGGCAAACTACCGAGAATATCTCCCGCATGGCAAAGCCTGGCAAGCTACCCGTGACATATTCGATAGGCCAAACACAGTAACAACAAAGTCTCACGATGAAGACGTTACTGGGCCTGCTCGAGAAAATCGATGAACAATGGCAGGACAGTGACAGACTAATTTCTATTGCCTTGGTCTTCACCTTGAAAATCTACAGTATTAGATTTATATTATCTCTAAATTTATATGTGGACAGAGCCTGATAAATTTTTAGAGATTAACTTTGATTATCTTGGTAGGAAATTTTTATAGTAAAAATATAGTACAGAATGAGTATACTTATGTGTATGTATGTCACTCACACACACATATATATATATGATGAGAGAATGAACTATGAAAATACTCCAACACTGATCTAAGCTTTTTTCTAAAAGAGGTGAATACCTTGACAATGTTATCAAAGTGAATACCAAAGAACATCAAAGTGCCACTGGGTAAGACTTTGAATGTCCTTAAACCTGATTCTTATAAGATAAAATAATTAGTATTTTATTAGTGGCCATAAGCTAAAATAATTGTATTGCAATATAATAAAATATTTTGCTATGTTTAACTTCATAACCATATTTTATTATCATGAAAATAGATAGTAATGGTGGATCTAGTTTCTAATAGTGTGTAAAATCTTTCAAGAATTCTTTCAATGTTATTTGCTTTTCTCCCTTATTTGGAATTTTAAGTTATTGTTAGGAATGAGTTATGGAATTGAATTTGTGTCTAAAGAAAGCACACTCTTGACATTTTTGAAGTGAATCTCTAAATGACAATACATAGCCAAGAGAGACTTGGTTAAAACTCCTATAAATCAACTTCTCAAAGAACAAGTGGTCTCAGAAGACAGCCCATGGAGGTGGCTTGTCAGGAATAGACCCTAGCAGCGAAAAACTTTACACTATTGTTTTTCCAATTTGAGATTATGTTGACATGGCAGTAATACTGAATCAAGATACTTTTGCCATCCTCTCCTGCCAATTTTTTCCCCTCTCCTGCCACTTTTTGTTTCTGATTGTGGAATTTGGTATTACTCAATGCACCTTACTGGGGAAGTATGTGTCTCTCTCCTGAAAAAAAAATGAGTCAATTGTCTTACCATGTAAGGAAATTTGTCTTTATTACTCACCTTGGTCTAATTATATTTTTAAAAGCATGGAATGTGGCAATAATTGAGTTTATATGAAGGCACCGCTATTCAAATACTTGTTTTTTAATAATATTGTTAAATTATTACTTTTATTGTTAACTTTTGTCATTGTTTTAAAACAGAAGAATGGACAAGCATATCTTATTTGTTGATTAGAATTTTACATTATGTCTGGATCCAGTATAGAACATTAATTTAGAATACATCAGTGCTACAATTTGGAGTAGGTCAACAAGGTCCAAGAGCAAAGCTGATTTCATGTATACTTATCCAATTTGAGAATAAAACAAAATAAATCCCATGTTTTTTGTTAACAAATAAAGAAACTTAATGGTCTTCAGATCAAGGTATAAGAAAACTTTCATTTATAGTTAGAGCTTTAAAATTTCATTGGTATAGAAATTATATATTTTTTGCTAATTTTTTCTAATTATGTTTACTGGAATAGTCCTATTTTAATGATGTTTATTAAAGCTCATTTCTTTATTCAAAGAAAACAAGACCTCAGTGGACATATTAAAGAAAATCCTGAAACAAATAAAAATATCAAGAGGTAAGACACTGAAATATTTTTTTTAATTTGACCTTTATGAATACATTGGAATTCTTCGTGTTCGTATGCAAATAAGTAAATTAAAATTCAAACCAAAACTGAGACCTCTTTTCCCCATAGCAAGTACACACCATAGTAAGCAATGCTACAAATGATGCACAGTTGCTATCTCTTGCATTATCTTTTGGGGTAAAGTTTGCTACAAGGTAGATTTTGAGAAATTAAATGAGAATTATCTACTGAGATATATGATTTATTTTTTCATATGTTTATATGTGTATATGGATTAAATTTCAGTCTGAAGTAGAAAACTGATATCTTATGTCTATCAGATAAAAGTTCCTCTTAGATACAGCTGTTTTGTTCAATTTGAGCCTTTAGCTGATTGGATGGGCCCACCCATGTTAGAGACACCTATCAGCTTTACTTAGTCTGCTAATGCAAATAGTGATTCCACCTAAAAGCATCATCTCAGAAACACTCATCATAAGGTTTGACCAACTCTCTGGGCACCCTGTGACCCAAATCAAGTTGACACAAGATAGATGTGTTAGTTCATGTGTATATGTATCAGTAGTGTGTGTGTCTATGTGTGAGAAGAATATAAGTGCATGCATGTGGAGATGTAGTGTATGAGTGAATTTTGTGTACTTGTATAATGCAACTGTGTTTAGCACATGTGGTGTGTATTAAATGAAGAGCTCAGCAAAGTGTACTTCATAAAAGAGTTGTCCTATCCTTGAATTTTCAAGTAAATCTGGAGAGCTTATGTTCTCTTTCCTTTTATTTTTGAAAAGCAGATGAAATAGATTTGAAGCTTAACTGGTTAGCGTGTTACTGAAAACAGTATACCAAATAATTCCATGTGGTTTCCTTTGAACTCCTTTCCACTTCGTTAATTCAGTTCATGATATTATTAGTTGACTCTAAAATGTGTCACTGATGTCTGCAGGCCTAATCAGCACAGCAGAGTGTGAGCTCAGGAGTTGAAATGTGCTGTGTATGTCAGGTCTGTCCTCAGCACCACAGCACAGCATATGAGGGACACTGTGACCAGTGGACCTAAGATTGAGACAAAAGCACTAATTTCCTTGGCTCCCTGGGTCATTCAGCAAGGTAACCTTAGCGGATGCGAAGAGGGAGCTTAAAAGCTCAAATTCTGACTCTATTACTGGCTAGCCATCTGCTGGTTCAATGTTCTTATCTACCGAAGGATCATGCCTTTATCTTTTCTGACATATGATAGTTAAAAATCATCATTAGTAATGACAGAGAATCAGATGAATTATGTTTTTTTAACTTGATGATTTTGATATTGTTTAACTTATGTTGCCTCTCCAAAAGAACCAATCTGTATAATCCTTTCCAATTTTTATTAGAGTACTTCAAATCATCGTCTGTTTTTATCATGTGAATGTGAATATGGGAAGATACTTGTGCACATGTTTTTACATACATACAACATTTTTTGTGATTCTTGTGTATTATATCTGTATGTGTAAGAGTGCAATGTTTGTGCCTATGTATGTAAGTGCATTTGGTTATGCACCTGTCTATGAAAATGTATGAGTGAGGCTCCATATATGTGCAGATATGTTTGTGTATAAGAGTGTGCCTATTTTTTTATGTATTAGTACATGTACACATTAATGTTTGTGTGTGGGTATATGTGTAGTTTGCATGTATGTCCCATGTATATGCACACCTCCTGAAAACTTTTAGGGATACTATTTGTCATTATTTCCACATATTTATTCCACATATCTAAGTTCTATAAATCTTTTAAAAGTAAAATTAGATTATGTTCCATCCCATAATGAAAACTTTCAATAATTTTACAATTTACACATAATAAGATTATACCTATCAATTGCCTTGCACTTTTTCAATAAAGTTCGGCCACATACATCATTTCTCCCCGATCCAGATTCATTTATGCCTTCAGACTTCATTTCATTTCATTTCATTTCATCATCCTGTTTTTCGTCGATTGCCTCGAGCAGGCCCCAGTAACGTCTCTTTCATCCTAACCCTGAGATTATATTCAAGGCTCTTTAGGAGAATGAGACCCATCATTTTTACTGGTATTTGGCATATTTGGTATGCCACGGGGAGTTTGCCAGACTCTGCCCTGTGGGCAGGCTACATTTGATAGCCTGCAAGTTTGTCCAAAGTAGGAACAAGATAATAAGATGTCATAAAAGATGTCCTGATAAGATGTCGCGCGGCCGACTTCTACTTGTGCTTTTCCTAATTTGAGGTTCTCTTCCCCCATATTTTCACCTTCAAAAATCAGTGAAATTTGATCACCAAATATAATAAAGTTACCAGCCACAAGTACCATAACCATGAAAATTTTTCTTCATAACATATATTTTTCTCTGAACTTATATTTATTTATGTGTTTGATTCTGCCTTTCCTCAAATCAGAATGGAAGCTTCATGAAGGGTAAGCCTCTCTCTTCAGTATTCACTGTCATCTTAGCACTTGAGGTCCACAGAGGTTTTCCCTAATTATTGCCACTTGGAAATAAATCCAGAATACTGAAAATATACTATGAGGCAAGGCTTTACAAATTTATATCTCAAATATCATTGTACACCTTACATTAATTAACACACTCTTCTTTGTACACTTTATGAATTTTGATAAACTAATACATAAACTAAAACTGATACTTAAGGAAATCAGCTTCTTGACAATATAACCAAAGTATTGTAAACACTTAGTGACTGAGTTAAATTTTGGCCAATAAATCACAAGTTTCTGATAAAATGATCAGAGTCAATTTCACTACCATTCCAAATATGCAAATCAGAAGTAACAATGGGAATTGGGATTTTTTTCAGTCTGCAAATACAGAAACAGGTACCTAAAATTTTTTTTCAGGTTACTAGCATTCAAATGTCACATGATTTGTTACTTTGTTACATTATTCGCTGTAAAAAGGTACAGAGTTTTATTGCTGCCTTTAGCCTGGATATAAACATTCTCAGACATCTGGATCAAGTGAAAATTTGCATCAGCATCTGTTTGTTCTAACTACCTGTATATTTGATGTTCTGTAGAAACTTGGTGATACAGTTTTAGAGCATGGATAAGCAGTGTAAAAGTACTTTTCAGTGGAATTTCTTTACCCCTAGTTTCCTCTGAAGATCATAGGAATTCTGGGTGGGGCTGCATGTATGTAAATGTAAATACTTATGAAAAAATAAATTCCAGTAGAATCTGAAGCAGGATATACTAGTGACAATAAATACTAGCATGTCTTCAGTGACTGTGGAATTTCATAATACAGTAAATGTGGTCCCTCTTTCAGACTACTATAGGTTTTTATATCCCTAAAGTAGATTAAAATGTAGTTGTTGCCCACACAACTAAATTTCACAATTTTGATACACCACTATAAATACTAAAAGCAGATACCAGGCTATAGAATCATGGAATTTAACAAATTGCTATCTTCATTTCAGTCCAGTATAATGAAAAGAAAATCTGCTAACAAGTGTTAATTTACAAAATACAAATTCTGCAAAACTGATTTAAAATTCCGTAGCCTGTTGGAGGTTGATATGAAGAGGATGTGCCTTCTGGATTGTTCCATGAGCACTATATTATTGACTTTTACAAAATGTTTAGTGTACTATCAGAGGCTAAGATCATTGCAGTAAATGGATCAAAATAAAGACAGTGTGTAGTATTATCTAGGCTTCATGGTTCCAAGATTAAAGAATTATCTCCCTGTTTTTAAGATGTATAAATCTTTATATACTCCTGTAAAGTTGGTTTTAACAATTTAAACTCTTTTTCAGCCATCTCAGTGGGTATTTATACAGTTTTTGAGTTTTAATTGACAGTTTTATCCACTTATCTGCTTGTTATTAACCTTATTATTTCTTCTATGTATTAAAGGGGCCAAAGCCTTGATAATCTCATCAAAGTGACCCTTGAAGAAAAGAGAAGTAGCCCACGGTAAGGATTATGTCTTGATCTATCTTCCTTTTTTTATCTACACCAATTTATGACACTCAGTAGTAAAACATTTGAATTGAAAACTGAAAGTCCAAACTATTACTTCCCAGCTTGATGTCTTTCAGTAAATCTCTTAAACACCCTTAACCGAGATTTCTTTGACTATAAAATCAGAACCATATTTTCAGTCTATTTGTTGCTTGATTGTTCTAAGAGTCAAGTGAAGTAATAGACATAAAATATATCTTTTTAATTTGTTTTTAAAATAAAACAATTCTCCTTCAATGCAAATATCTGGTTCATACTCCCTCATCTCCCACCCTCAACAAAAAAAGAAAGAAGAAAGAAAGAAAGAAAGAGAAAAGAAGTCCTCTCATGTGATCTATCAAGAACAGGTTTCACATTCTTTTATACTGTTGAGTTTTTCTAGAAATTTCTTTCTTTCCTCCTTTTTCATTTGTTCACATCCAGCGGTGCTCGGGGCGTAATCCTGGCTTGTGCTTAGGGATCAGCCTTAGCAGTGGTAGGGGATCAGAACTGGTGCTGAGGATTAAACTAAGATCAGAAGCATGCAAGGCAAACACCTTAACCTTATACTCTGCTTGTCTTCTTTATGCTCTGCTTGTCTTCTTTGCTTCTTTATGCTCTTCTTCTCCTTCTTCTCCTTCTCCTCCTCCTCTTCCTCCTCCTTCTCCTCCTCCTCTTCCTCCTCCTCCTCCTCCTCCTCCTCCTCCTCCTCCTCCTCCTCCTCCTCCTTTTTCATGCTCTGCTTGTCTTCTTTGCCTCCCATGTCATTCTTTGCATTCTGTTTTGTGTTATTATGATTCTCAATGTGGCTATTTTGTGCTACATTTTTAATAGATAACAAAATGCAAAGGTTAGTAAGAAAATCATGATGGGTTTTATGTTCAACTACCTTACTATAGTCTAAGACAATTATGTGTGTCTGTTGAAAATCACTCATCGACATCTATTGCTAACCAAATGTGTGTAAAGTTTGCACAGTGGTTACAAACTGCACACCAGTTTGTCAACAGTGAATGTCAACTGTTTTTGACCACATCTGCATGGCACTAAGATTAGTTTCTATTGACTGGGGAGATAACTCAAAGGGCTGGAGTACATGCCTTGCATTCATGAAGTAGGGGATGGATTCCCAACACAAAATTGTACACTCAGAACCACTAACAGTGACCCCTGAGCATCAAGCCAAAAATTGGTCCTGGGCACTTCTGGGTGTGACTCCCCTAAACCAAAAAACAAAAAACAAAAAAAAGCCTCTTCAATTGTATCTCATGATGAAGTGACATCATCATAGAAAATAACTACAGGGGTGAGGGAAGGAAAGTCCTTCAAAATAGTTCTTGCAAATTGTTATTCTTCTAAATCTTTTTGAAGAAAAAAGTAAAAACATGGAAATTATTAAAATACATATAAAATCTATGTATAGCAATAGTATTCACTAGAATAGAGAGCAGGTAAGAACTTCTGGCAAATCCTTTCAGTTATTGCATTGATTTTTAAAAATTAAATCTTGCCCTAATTTATGGGCTTATTTTGAGAACAAGTAAGGGACTGAGACAATATATCAATGATTTAGATGATAGGAAAATTGTTTTTTTATGACTAGGGAGATAATTCAAAGAGTTGACACATGCTTTGCAGATGAGACCCCCAGATTTGATCATCAACCCTGCATGATCCTCTCAGTACCCCTGGGAGCAACCCCCAAAGTAGCATACCTGGGGTAGCCCTGGGATACTGCTCAGTGTGAATCTCCACTTAAAAAAGAAAATTCTTCTTTTTAAATTAATGGCATACTCTGGTATTGATTTTTTTTAAAAAGTTAGCAAAATGCAACTTGAGTACATATATCCTTCAAATTAAAATATTGACTTGATTTAATTTCATCATTACTTAGCATGTTTTTGCTTTTATTGTATAAAGTTCCAAGGAGTGTGATAACCTCATCAAAGTGAATCCAAGAACAGATAAAAATGTACAAGGGTAAGATTTAATACTTTTTTGTTTAGTACTAACCAAGTTTGAAAACATAATTATTAAACCATCATTTCCGCAGACTAACACTAAATTTCAAATAATTCAAGAAAAATCACCCAGCCTCCAAGACAAGCTATCTATTGGTTCCTTGGTTTGAACTATTTTCTCATTGTCAAAATGAGGAAATCAGACTAGGTACTCCTAGCGATTTCCAACATTGATTTATTCAGTAACCCAACAAGATAGGGGTTAGGGTATTGAGCTTTAAATTCCAGCCCTACAAATGCTATTTATGTCAAGAAACGAATATCTCAGTTTCTGAGTTTTTGCCTTGTGAAATCAGGTAATACTTCCTCTGTCATAGGATTAATTTGAAGATTAATTCATGCAAATTATGTAAATCATTTAGAACAGTACATTATGAATTTTGGAAACCATTACTGTCCATTATTTCTATGAATCTGTAATTAGTTATATATACTTATTTACCTTATGTATGTGTCAATGCTCAGAAACTATAACTCCTAAGGATGTCACTGTCACTGTCGCTGTCACTGTCCTCCCGTTGTTCATTGATTTGCTCGAGCGGGCCCAGTAACGTCTCCATTGGAGACTTTGTTGTTGATATGTTATAATAAATACTTTTTAATAAAATAAATGTATTATGTTTGTCTGTAGCACTGTAGCACTGTCCTCTCATTGTTCATCAATTAGCTCAAGCAGGCAATATTTATTTATAGCAAATAAAACGTTTTTATAATGCAAATGTTTGATAGGTGCAGTCACATGAGATAAACTGATCACTGATTTGATCCTTTCTTCCATATTGTAAAGGGGTCAAAATCTTGACAGTCTCACCAAAGTGACTCCTGAAATGAAGAAAATTAAGCAAGGGTAAGGTTTATTGAATTGTTCTCTCTCTTCTTTTCTTCCTACTTAACTTAGCAAATGTCATCAGCCACACATGCTGGGGGAAAAGGCAGCTCAGATAGAGAAGGGAGCACCAAATAAAGGGTGTTGGGAGGATCCTCCCAAGATGGGAGATGCATGCTGAAAGTAGACTATAGTCTGAAAATAATTGCCACTCAATGCCTCTTTTGCAAACCACAGCACCCAGAAAGAGAGAAAGAGAGAGAGAGAGAGAGAGAGAGAGAGAGAGAGAGAGAGAGAGAGAGAAAGAGAGAGAGAAAACAAAAGGGAATGCCCTGCCACAGAGGCAGGGTGGAATGGGGGGATGGTGGGTGGGAGGGACGCTGGGATCAGTGGTGGTGGAGAATGGGCACTGGTGGAGGGATGGGTACTTGATCATTGTATAACTGAAACCCAAGCACAAAAATTTGTAAGTCTACACCTGTACCTCATGGTGTTTCACTAATAACAATTAAAAAAAAAAAGACTCACATGCAAATACTTGCAAAAAAAAAAAGAAAAAAGAAACTTGATGTTCAAGTCCCTGCCAAGGGTCCTGGACTTTAGTGAAGAGAGAATTTTTTTATCTTTTTTTTTTAATGTGTGAGTACTGCTATTTATTCAGCCACTGATTAGCTGACTGAATTGGGCATGAACTCCACCTTACTTTTCCTTCTCACAATCACGACCATTTGTCGATTGCCTCAAGCAGGCCCCAGTAATATCTCCTTCGTCCTAGCCCTGGGATTTTTAAAATAGTGCCATATTCAAGGCTCTTTCAGAGTTAGGAGAACGAGACCCATCATTGTTACTGGTGTTTGGCATATTGGGTACGCCACGGGGAGTTTGCCAGACTCTGACGTGTGGGCAGGTTACATTCGGTAGCCTGCCAGTTTGTTCAAAGTAGGAATGAGATAATAAGATGTCGCGCTTACGGGAGCTGGGTTTTATAGTCTCTGAGTCTTGGCCGTTGATGGGATTACACAGCGCCAGGGGGCCAGTTGGTGGGTGTGACCCCTGCCTACTGGAAGGTGGAGGATCTGGGTGGAGGATGCTCAGCCCCGATCTGAGCAGGCTTGGAAATCTCAGCCCCAGGACCTGCATGCCTTTGTTCCTCTGCTGGTACCTTCATGCATCTGGAGAGTGGTCTCAGCATGGTGGTGGCTGGTCCTGGAGGTCTTCGGCTGCCAGAGCCCTGGTCGGGGCGGGGAGGGAAACTCAACCCGCTCCCCTCCAAGGGGCCCCGGCGAGGACAGCCAGGTGTGGGGGCAGGAGACTGTGCCTTTCCTTCTCATTTTTTATAATTTTATTTATTGAATCACTGTGAGAGCAGTTACAAAGTTTTTGGGTCTAAGTCTCGGTCATACAATGAAACACCCATACCTTCACCAGTGCCCATTATCCACCCCCAACAACCCCAGTATACCCCCATCCCACACTCTCCCCTACCTGTGGGGCAGATGATTTCCACATTACTCTCTCTCTACTTTGATTATATTCAATATTTTGACACCAGACCCACCATTATTATTTGAGATTTTACCCCAACACTCAGATCTGCTGAAAAGAAAACCGTAGACAATTTGTTTTCTATTGCTGGTTATGAATAACATATGATGTTGTGTGGCTGCAGTAGTGGCTGTGCGCTTTTGAAATTCCAAAATTTTAACACTTAAATCTGAAGGGATTTCTGCCAAAACCTGCTGGGTTCCAAAATTTGCTCCTGCGTTTTTGGGATCATGGCCGTTAAGCAGCTTGATCAGGAGCCAGAAAGGCCGTTCATGGGCAGCGACTCGGGGCCTCGTTGGGACGAGGAGGAAAAGGACCAGCTCCCCCCCATCCCACAAGGCCCTGTGCGTCTCATCACTGAGGGCCTAAACCTGACTGTCCAGTGGCCTCTGGCGTATGGTGGCCACCAAGCTGGCTAGGGGGAAGCAGGCGGAGAGACAATACTCTTCCCCCCTTGGGGTGGCCCAGCGACAGTAACCTACTGTGGGGTCCAGGCGCATTTCTGCCAAAAATCACTGGGTTTCGAGATTTGTTTCTGAATCTCTTGGATTATGGCCGTTAAGCAGCTTGATCAGGAGCCAAAGAAGCCATTAGTGGGCGATGACTTGGGGTCTCCTTGGGGTGGGGAGGACAGGACCGGCTACACCCCCATCTCGTTTGGCCCAAAATGTCTCATCACTGCGGACCCAAACCTGACTGTCCAGTGCCTCTGGAGGATTGCGGCCACTGGACCACCAGGGGAAACAGGCCAAGGCACAAAACCTATTCCCACCTGGGTTCTCCCAGTGCCGATAACCTTCTGCAGGGACTGGACGCATTTCTGCCAAAAACCACTGGGTTTCAAGATTTGTTTCTGAGTCTCTGGGATCATGGCCATTAAGCAGTTCAATCAGGAACCAGAGAGGCCATGCCTCCAGTTATAGAGCTGAGCCGGAGGTGGTTTGTGGGTGTGTTTCCCACATACCTAACTTTTGGCCATTTACTTTCTTGGTAAACCTTGCCCCAAGTTTTTGGGGTCTGGCCAAAGGCACAGCAGCAATTTTCGGGTATCTGGAAGTCTGAAGGTGCCATCAGGCTGCAGATGCACTCGCCTCACAGGTACAGATTGACCTGCTGCGGCACCATACCCCCAAAGAGAGAATTTCTTAAGACAGGAATGATCTCTTACAAATATGGGATTTGAGTTCCAGGTTTGGGATTTTCTCTAAGCAAACTGGAATCCCCAGCATATGAAATATTGCCCTAAAATAATTTCCCAGAGGGAAGCAGTCAAGAGAAAGTTTTCATTGAAGAAATCTTATCCTTCATTTATTTCCTTTTTTCTATTTTTCCTTTTGACTATTACTTTTTATTTTTGCTTTTCCCCCCTTTGTTGGTCTTCACAGCATTAATGGTTAATTTATAGAAAATATCAAAGCAATTATCCATTGGGTTGAACCTACAAATTATTGACACTCAACAATTGTGATCCTCTAAATTTTAATTTCATATAGTTAATCATGATAGAATATACTAATGCACATGAGGGCATATGTTTGTTAAGATTACAGGTTAATCATAAAGATTAATTATAAGTGGTCTAAGGGCTGGAGCGATAGCACAGCGGGTAGGGCGTTCGCCTTACAAGCGGCCAACATGGCCGACCCGAGTTCGATTCCTCCGCCCCCTCGGAGAGCCTGGCAAGCTACTGAGAGTATTCGATATGCCAGACACAGTAACAACAAAGTCTCCAATGGAGACGTTACTGGGCCCGCTCGAGCAAATCGACGATCAACGGGAGGGCCTTTACCTAAGAATCTGGGATTTTTTTCTTTTTGAAATATATAGCTTATTGCCCAATAATAAGGTATATTAAATTTATTGTATAGGCCTTTGGTGTTAATAGGATTGATATGAGGTTCTTTGTGATGATAAAAAAAAGATCTCTGAGCTATAGTTGACTAGTTGAGTGTTTAGAAAAAAAATATATATATATATCGTCTGAAGCCTTACTTGTCCTGATTTAGCACTGCAAAAAGAATGATTCTAAAGTGATTTGAGTAATACTTCAGAGTTAGATGTCCATGTTATATATATTTCCTAAATTTGCGTTTCTGAATAATTTTAAAAATATTTTAAATTGTTTTTAAATAAAGTTTTATATTTTTATTTTTAAGGAGAAAGGGGAAGCAAAGAGAAAGTAGACATCATAAATAATTTACTTTTCATGTTCCAGGGCCTGTCTCCTTGGCTTAAGCTCTTTAGACCCACTTGCTTTCATCCTTTACTCAAACCTTTTCTCATCACTCAGAAGACAGGCAGATGAGATTTTTGTTGATCACTATTTTTAAGGGCTGGAGCGATAGCACAGTGGGTACGGCATTTGCCTTGCATGTGGCAAACCCAGGCGACCCGGGTTCGATTCCTTTGCCCCTCTCAGAGAGCCCGGCAAGCTACCCCGAGAGTATTTCGCCCCCACAGCAAAGCCTGCCAAGCTACCCATGACGTATTAGATATGCCAAACACGGTAACAACAAGTCTCACAATGGAGATATTACTGGGCCCACTCGAGCAAATCGATGAACTATGGGAGGACAGTGACAGTGACAGTGACTATTTTTAAGGGTTAGAGTGATAGCACAGCGGGTAGCCTTGCACACGGCTGACCCGGGTTCGATTCTTCTGTCCCTCTCGGAGAGTCTGGCAAGCTACCGAGAGTATCCCACCTGCCTGGCACAGACTGACAAGCTCCCCATGGCGTATACAATATGCCAAAAACAGTAATAACAATTCTCACAATGGAGACGTTACTGGTGCCTGCTTGAGCAAATTGATGAGCAATAGGATGACAGTGATACAGTGATACTTTTCTAATTTTTGAGGTGTCAGGAATAGTGGCAATGCTCCATTGCTGATTTATATTCCAAACCCTGAATTATTTCTCTATAGTGATGATTAAGGTTTAAATTGGCAAGAATAATTTGATTAAGCATTAAGGTTGAAAACTGACAGGGACAGAGAAATAGTACAGAGGGTAGGGAGCTTGCCTTGCACGTGGCTGACATGGTTTTCATTCCCAGCACCTCATATAATCCCCTGAGCACCACCATGAGTGATTCCTGAGTGCAGAGCCAGGAGTAGCCCATAAGCATCTTCGGGTGTGGCCCAAAAAGAAAAAAAAAAAGAAAAATGCGCACAAGTGATTTTAATTTTAGTTGATTTTACCAACTATTGGAAATTATCACCCTTAGGAGAACCAAGGCCTGGACAATCTCATCAAAGTAGTCCCCTCAGCAAATAAGAAGCGAGTTTATTAAGATTATCAGAGACTCATGATAAACGCTCCAACTTACGCCAGAAATAGGATTATTTGTGTAACAACATTTTGGAAGGGTATATTTTGAGATGAAAATACATTCATTTATTTATATGTAAAATATTATATAGATTATTCTTTTATAAGTGCATTATAATTTTACTATAATATTATTTAAATTTGTAATATTGAAGCTAATTCTATATAATTTCAACATGAGAAGTTTGATACAATGATGTGACTAGAATTTTCCTCTAAAGATTATAAGTTTATAAAACTTAATAAACCAAAGAACAGTCACTTTATTATCTTTGAAAACTCAGTGATGAAATTTTAAATGACTCCTGAGAAAAATATAATATTCCTAGACTTGATTAAAATAGCTTATATGATATTGACATCAAATGTATGGCTATCTTCCTAAGAAGTTAAGAAATAAGAAAATATGAGATACACAATGAAACATAAATTAAGAAAATGGATCAAAGAAACTCCAAGCTATACCCAATTTTCCAAAAGAATTACAAGGAAAAAATTACAGACATAAAATTTCCTGATTTCAGGTGTAATTTATCTTATATTTTATGTTGTTTTAGCTCTGAACAAAGTCTTGATGAACTAATTAAAGTAAACCCGAAAGCTGTCAAAATCACAACTCGGTAAGAGAATATTATTTATTTATTTTGTTTTGTTTCTCAATCTTAGGCATAAGTTGGATATAAATGACTTGTACATTCAGCGGGTCAATTGTGTCACAATTTTTTATGTAACAAGAGACGAAGCTGAAAAAACATATAGTTATGAATTCACTTCTTTCAACTTCAAGTTAAGCAATTGAAGGGAACGGGATAGAAACATAGCTCATCTATAAATCATTTATATATTTTCTTTATAGTATTAATCCAGGCTGGAGTGATAGCACAGTGGGCTGGAGCGATAGCACAGTGGGTAGGATGTTTGCCTTGCACGCAGCCGACCCAGGTTTGATTCCTCTGTCTCTATCTGGGAGCCCAGCAAGCTACCAAGAGTATCCTGCCCACACGGCAGAGCCTGGCAAGCTCCCTGTGGTATATTCAGTATGCCAAAAACATAACAAGTCTCACAATGGAGACGTTACTGGGACCCCCTCAAGCAAATTGATGAACAAAGGGAGGACAGTGCTACAGTGCTACAGTATTAATGTTAATAATACCATTTGTTGGGGATTTATTACATTCATTAATGATAGTTAATTAGAAAAAATCTAACCAATTCATTATACTCATCAGAAATACTATTTAGTACTTTTTTAAGAAGAGTTTTTAGTAGTAATTTTATGAGATGTATTTCTTCTTAGATGGTTTGTTTCTTCCAAAAATGTTATGAACCTAAAGTTGATTCTTGGAATAAACTCTCTCCTACTCAGCTTATGTGAAGATTCTTGTAATATTTTACACACACACACACACACACACACTTAAGATATATATCAAAAAGTGTTTCATTATTTCCTTTTATGGATAGAAATCACAAACTTTTATAAATGAAAGGAATCTCATACAGCTCATATCCCAGTTAGTTTGAACAATTTTGAAAACCAACATTTCAGTCAACTTATTGACTCAGAAAGGTTACATGATTTGGCCAGGGCCACAAAGAAATCTAGTGGAAAACTAATAGTATTTCTGTGATCTATTTGGCAGTGAATAATTACTGAGCACCTACTGTGTTGGAAGCTTACAACTAGGTATCATTAGTTGCATATTAGGTATAATTATAGGCCGTGGATGCCAAAAAGAGAATTCAGTAGACATATTCAATCTTATTAACAGCAGGCAATTATCATAGATTAAAGCAAATTATGTACCAAGAGCACAGAGATGTTACCCCAAGACAATAATAGGTTGTCAATTTAATATATTACATTTTGGAGTACTTGTGTACTGCTTCCTGAATATAGAATGTCTTCTTAGCAAGTTGCATATTTTAAAAAAAGATACTGAATAGCTAATTTAATGGATGTGACAGGCATAAATTTGTAGTCGTGTTTCTTAGGAACAGGCAGTATCAGATTTGGGAAAGCCATAGAGATGATCCAATTCAATCTTCTCATTTTACAGATAGGAATACTGAGGTTCCTCATAGTCTTTTGATTAGAATTTTTCTAACCAGCAGTGCAAATAATGATCTTTAAACCACAGAAACAACTTTTGCCATAAAAAATGAATCATAACCAAATTCTCCAGAAATTCAAGACACTCCTAAAGCAAGTATTTCATTGCTCTTGCCACGGAAATAGAAGGAGGTATTTTCCTCCATTCATCTCACCTGCTCACTAGAAAGATTACTTTGTAAATGACAAAAGTATGAATGTGCAAATGATGTTAAAATGTCTTATAGCTTTTTAAATACTAAGAAGTAACAAGAGTTAACAAAAATTCTAACGTAGGGGCTGGAGCAATAGCACAGCGGGTAGGTCGTTTGCCTTGCACGCGGCCAACCCGGGTTTGATTCGCAGTATCCTCCCATATGGTCCTCTGAGTACCGCCAGGGATGATTCCTGAGTACAGAGCCAGGAGTAACCCCTGTGCATAGCCAGGTGTGACACAAAAAGCAAAAAAAAAAAATTCTAATGTAGGGGAGTGAAGAAGTTACTCAGTGGGCTAAGTGCCGGGTTTGCATGTGAGAGCTCTGGGTTCAATCCCCAGACTCCTGAGCACTGTTGGGGGCAACCCCTGAGACTGATTCAGGAGTAGTCCTGAGCTCTGCTTAGTTTGCTCCACCACCACTTGGCTCTGTCAAATTCTAATGTATCATTCACATTATTAATGTAAAATAAATGAAAGCAGTAACCTGACTAGGAAAAAATATTACATATATGGTTTAGATATGGGTTTTGTTTTTCTCAGGATTTTGAGACCCAGAAAAATGTCTATATATTTGTTGCTTTCAATTCTTTGAGATAAATTGTGTGCTAACAATCAAGATAATTTAAAGTTGTTACTGAGATTCTAATTTTATTAAATACAGTGATGTCTTTTTAGGAATAGTGGTAGAAAATAACATACATTTATGTTTCCTAAATTAATATTCAAACTGTGGGTCATAACCCACTAAAAGTTTTTATAATTGATATTGTCACTGGTTCATCAGAATGATCCCAAATTAAAAATAGTAAATAGCGTAGATAAGAGTTCTTAAGTAGTTAGGGAGTTATTTCAGAAAACATACAATTTTACAACACATGTGTCTATCTACATGTCTGAATTGAGAATATTAGACTGTGATGTAAAATGTATCTTTGAAAATCGATTTAGCATTGATTTATAATGTATAATTTAAGGATCATAAAGTCCACTCCTATATATGTGGATATCCCTCTACATACCCATTTTATTTAATTTATTTTATTTCTAATGCAATAACACTGTCAAACTAAGACCTCTATTCTCTCTACCTTTCCCTCTGTAACCACCCTATTTTTCAGAGTCTAAGGGTTATTTTTATTGTGTTTTTGCTATATAATTTGCTTAGGTAATTTATATTCTACATACGGGTGAAATCAACTGGTAATTGTCTTTAACTTTCTGATGATTTCACTTAGCCTTGTTATATATAAAATGAGTTTCTTAATGGGCTTGTGAAACAGTAACTTGGGTATTAGTTTTCTAGGTTATTGGATGAGTCACATTTTCTATGCTCATCAGAATAGTGAAAATAGAAGTTCTCTGTGTTTACATATTCTATGCAGTTTACTATCAAGCATACTTGTATCTGAATATCAGTTACACTAAAAGTATAAATGTATAAAATAAATGTATAAAATAAAAGGTTATTTTATACATTGAAATGTTGTCACTTTTGAAAGTATATCTCCTATGTTAGGTTTGTTTATAAAATAATCTGTTTAAGAGGTGGAAGTGACATCACTTTAAGGATTATTGGTTTTCAAATGCAGTTTGACATCTTTCCCAGGGGAACACTGGGCCTGGTAGTGAGGTGATGTTCTGTCTTGCTGGGAACCATCAGGCGACATCCAGAGTGCTCTAGAAGTTGTGCACTCCAGAGGAAGAAGCGTGGGGAACTCGAGCACATATCATACGTGTTCCACTTTTTAGAGCTATGGAGCATGAAAACCCCATTTATCCTTTTAAAATTTTTTGTTCATGTTGGGGGTCACATTTCTGTCTGTCTGTGTCTCTTGATTTTTGGGACATACCTATCGTGCTCAAGGCTTAGTCCTGGCTCTGTGCTCAGGGATCACTTCTGCTGGGGCTCAGAGGACCATAAGCAGTTCTAGGGGGTCAAACCCTGGTTGGATAAGTACAAGACAAATATCTTACCCACGGTACTATCTCTCTGGTCCCTAAACCCAGGGCTCATGCATACAAGGCATGTGCTTTACCAGTGAGTCATACCCCCAGTTTAGCTTTTTAACAAGTGTTATAATCAATGTATACAAAGAAATTATGTTTTAGATAGTTCTCCTATGTTGATCACTTCTTAAACAGTATTTAGGACACAAGTTTATTACCTATAATTTAAAATATTATTGGCAATTTCGTTCAGTGGAATTTTATCTACCATGAGTATGTAAGAGTAGTATGGAAAGGCTCAAATTAAGTGGTTGAGCTTTCCATAGGAAGCATGTTCTATGGAAAAATTTGGAGGGTAGAATGGAGGAGAGGAATGTCTTTTTCTCAGATCTTTCTGATTAATATTTCTCAAAATAAATGCGAAGCAGTTTAGAGAAACATATAGGACCACTGCTTTCTTCTTTTTTCCTCCTATAGGTAATTTTTTATTTATTATTTTATTATTTTCATTAGTGAAACACCATGACGTACTATTGTAGACTTACAATTTTTGTGCTTGGGTTTCAGTTATACAATGATTTAGTACCCATCCCTCCACCAGAAACCCAATCTCCGCCGCCAGTGCTCCAGTATCCTTCCCACCCCCTCTATCCCCCCCATCCCACCCCACCCCTGTGGCAGGGCATTCCCTTTTGTTTTCTCTCTCCTTTTGGCTGCTGTGGTTTGCAAAAGAGGCATTGAGTGGCAATCATGTTAGGTCTATAGTCTACTTTCAGCATGCATCTCTCATCCTGGGAGGATCCTCCCAACACCCTTTATTTGGTGCTCCCTTCTCTATCTAAGCTGCCTTTTCCCCCAGCATGTGCGGGTGGCCTCCAAGCCATGGAGTGAACCTCCTGGTACATATCTCAGGTGTTAGTCTCCTATTTTGTTACTTTATATTCTCCAGATGAATACAATTTTTCTATATCTGTCCCTCTCTTTATGACTCATTTCATTTAGCATGATACTTTCCATGTAGTACCACTTGTATGTAAATTTCATGACTTCATCTTTTCTAACAGCTGCATAGTACTCCATTGTGTAGATGTACCAAAGTTTCTTTAACCAGTCATCTGTTCTTGGGCACTCGGGTTTTTTTTCCGGATTTTGGCTATTGTGAATAGTGCAGCAATGAACATAGAAGTGCAAATGTCATTTCGACTGTACTTTTTTGCCTTTCTGGGATGTATTCCCAGGAGTGGTATAGCTGGGTCAAATGGGAGCTCAATTTCTAATTTTTTGAAAATCGTCCATACTGTTTTCCAAAAGGGCTAAACCAGTCAGTATTCCCACCAGCAGTGAAGGGGAGTCCCTTTCTCTCCACATCCATGCCAACACAGGTTGCTTTTGTTCTTTTGGATGTGGGCCAGTCTCTGTGGTATGAGATGATATCTCATTGTTTTCTTAATCTTCATCTCCCTGATGATTAGTGATGTAGAGAATTTTCTAATGTGTCTTTTAGCCATTCAGTTTTCTTCTTTGGAAAAGTTTCTGTTTATTTCATCACCCCATTTTTTGATGTGGTTGGATGTTTTCTTCTTGTAGAGTTCAACCAGTGCTTTGTATATCCTTTATATCAACCCCTTATGAGATGGATATTGGGTAAATATCCTTTCCCATTCTGTAGATTGTCTTTGTATTCTGGTCACTGTATCTTTTGAGATGCAGAAGCTTCTTAATTTAAGATAGTCCCATTTGTTTTAATCTGTTTCCACTTGGTTGGTCAGTGGAGTGTCATCTTTGAGGATACCGTTAGCCTCAATATCATGGAGGGTTTTCTGACCTTGTTTTCAATGTAAAAGGACCACTACTTTATAACCCTTAAAACACTGATACCAAGAATGAAAGAAAATCATTTGGAAACATTTCTCTGTAACTAAGAAACTGTTAGCACTTCAAGTAGGAAGTATATTTTTAGATTATTTCACTAATTTGAACATGAATGATTGAGTATAATTCCAATTTTGTGGTGATGGTGGTGGGAGGGACTTGGACCACCTTCAGCTGTGATCATAGCTTACTCCTGACTGTGTTCTCAGGAGTCACATCTGTGGTACTCGGGGGGGGGGGGGGACTGAATTTAGGGTTGCTGCATGCAAGGAAAGTGCCTTGCCTCTACTATATCCCTACCCTAATTCCATTTTGAAAAATCATAGCAGGGGCTGGAGCGATAGCACAGCAGGTAGAGCGTTTGCCTTGCACATGTCCTACCCGGGTTTGATTCCCAGAATCCCATATGGTTCCCCGAGCACTGCCAGGAGGAATTCCTGAGTGCATGAGCCAGGTGTAACCCCTGTGCATCACCAGGTGTAACCTAAAAAAGCAAAAAAAAATCATAGCAGAGAGAAGTTACATTTTTAATAGATTACTGGAGCCTTCTTGACCAACTTATGATGAATATACACTCTGTATTATAACTCATTGTTTTTAAATAGTATCTATTTTTAATTGAATCACTGTGAAATACAGTTACAAATCTTTCATGTTTGAGTTTCAGTCATACAATGTACGAACATCCATCCCTCCACCAGTGCACATTTTCCACCACCAATGTCCCCAATATCCCCCCCATTTTAAATAATATCTAATTTGATCATTTGATTTAAAAAATTGACAAGTATATTAAAGTCAAATTTTGTCTTCATAGTGTAAAAACATTCCAGGGTAAAGCTTTTGTTCTCCAGGAACTGTACTCCTCGAAGCAAGTATTATAAATCAATAGTCAAGCAATTAAAGAATAATTTTTTGCAATTAGAGATCATTGCTGATCAAAAAAGTTCAGATTCTCAATTAGCCAGTATGCTTTTGAAGAGACACAGGTAATAAACTGTCAGAGTAATTTTTCTTCTGAATAATCATAATTTATCTCGAAGAATTTATTAAAAACTTATTTCCAAAACGTTCTATATCTAATCAATCCTCTTATACTAAACTAAATTACCTAAAATACCTAATCAGCTCTTCCTATTTTCAATCAACTTAAACGTTTCTTATCACTAATACAAGCTGCTTTTTTTTCCCACTTAAAGAAATCAAGATCTTGATAAACTCATCAAAGTAAATCCTGAAACTCTCACCAACAACTTAAGGTATTAGATTACATTAATTTGTGTGTTTTGGTCACAAAAATTTTTTACTTTATTATTTCAAGCAAATTTATAAGCTTAATAATCTCACCAAATAAACTTTAAAATTAACCTATTGTTTTTTTTCTATTTAAAGAAACCAGGATCTCAATAACCTCATCAAGGTGAATCCTGAAGTCATCCAAAGCAATCAGAGGTAATCAAATAAATTCAGTCATTTAGTTTCCACTGTTTCTTGCTGGTAGGGAGTGGCTTTATAATGTGGCTCTATCGACCAGCACAAAAGACAAACCTATCGCTAATAGAACTTTTCTGTTTTCTCTTTTGAACAGCCCAGATAATCTTGCTAAGGTGAACCGTTCAGCACTCAGGAACTCTAAGCAGTAAGAAACTTTGCATGACTATTTGCACATGTATTTAAGCTTTTAGATTAGGAATTCATACCCTGTCTCTTCCTTCTTTTTTGAAAAATATGTCCTCTATTTTTCTTTAGTGTTTAAATGAGAACACATGTATAACCCATGTGTCTTCTGTCATCAAGGAAGTGTGTTACACTCTGCTAGAATCGATGGCACCACTTTGGAATCAGTCTGTACTTCCTTATTGCATTAAAGCAAAGAGTGGTTGATTTCTATAGGAAAAAGAATGAAATGAAATGTAAAGTGAAATGAAATAAGAAGAAAAAAACAGTCAGAGAAGTTGAACCAAATTGACGGTTTACATGGATGCTCACAGAGCAGCAGAACAGATACTCAGACTTTTAAAAGTGGGTACAGGGATATAGTTGAAAGGACTAGTCTGCATATTTTGCATGATAGAAGAGGGTTCTGTCTTGAACATTGTTCAAATACACCACTGGCACAACTCCTGAGCATCACTGCAGTGTTATGGAGAGGGAGATGTGCCCCCCCCCCAAATAAATGATTCATAGATAATGTGGATTCACAAAATATTGAAGCAAATTTTAACCTTCAACTTCTACTTTGAGTTCTACAAATCCCTTACAATTCACTTTAAGACTCTAGATAATATTCCAGAGTTTGTATTTTAAGACCCTATTGTTCTACTGATTTGAAATGTTATCACAACACCTACATAGTGGGGAATCATACTGATAATATTGAGATGAAGACAGCAAATTACATATGGAAAAGTGCCTTGAAGTGATAGAACAAGGACTGTGTAATACACTGATTGACTTAGCTCCTATATCTCCCTGTCTACCTACTACCTTAATACTTAGCATTACTCTTTCTGTTTCCTGGCTTTTTTCACAGGGGAATTGGGTATCTCAAGTGAGAAAGTACAAAGGGTACTAAAAAGCAGCTGCTATGTAGTTTGCAGCATTTACTGAGTATATATGCAGAGGTTCCCAAACTTAGTTAACCTGCTTCCTCCTTTACACACACACACACACACACACACACACACACACACACACACACACACACACACCCCACTCAGCAACCCCATGGAAATCTATCCTCTTTAAGCAAACAGACAAAAAGTGGGAGCCAGATACATAGTATAACCCTTAGGGCACTTGCCTTGCATGCAACTGACCCAGTTTTAATCCCTGAAAATCCATATGGCCTGTGATCCCAGCCAGGAGTGGTCCCTAATACTGGTGATGGGATTGGTTCTGGGAAATTGTATACCTGAAACTTGATTATGAATAACTTTGTAAATCACTGTCGGTACCTTGATTAAAAAAAAAAGAAAACCAAAAGGGACCCCTTAATTGCACATAGGCCATTTTCACCCTCTCAAATTGTTCAGTGACCCCCAAGGGGTTGGTATCACTGAATTTGAGAAACACAGGTCTAAGTATATTAGGTTTTGGAGTCACATCCAGTAGTGACCCTTATTTCGGTCTTATTCTTGGCTCACTCAGTAGGAACTCAGGAATGCTGGTGGTGCTTGGGGGATAATATGCATTGCCAGGGATGTAACTGGTGTTACTATGTGTTAGCAAAGTATCTTAACTCCTGTACTATCTCACCAGCTCTCTACATATTTAGTCCATACAGCCGTCCCATCAGAAATATATTCATATGTCCAATGTGGAGAAGAGAAATAATTCAAGAAAGATATGGAATAGCCCCAAAACACGTTCTGGATCTAAATTCAGATCCTTCGGGTGCCACAGTCTGTACGTGCTCCCAGCCATCATAGGCCTAACTCCATGATACTCCATATTTCTCATCTGTGCATGTGGACCACAGATATGAAAGGCCAGTTTTATTGTTTTTCCATCAACTCCTAATAAACTCCCTATAAAATAAAAGCATTCCCAGTATGTAGATAGGATGACAGTAAAAAAGGAAATTAAAAAAATGTTAGCCATCATATTTCTTTCAGATGGCAGCTTGGTCCACAAATATAACCTAACAATGCCTATGATTTTTGTAGTTACTGTGGATTTGTAAATCAAACAGGATATGCAAGCATCATTACAACACAGACAAATAGGAGAGACTGGTACCCGTGACAAAACAGTGACTTCCTGCAGTTGGTTCTGCTGCCTATATCTATAAAGTATCTCTGCTGCCCGCTTGTTTGAATGGGCGATTTTGCGTGCCTCTCAGGAGGAATAACAGCCATAAGGCACTTTTACAGCCAATTCAGCATGACAGAAGTGTTGATTATTTAATAGTGTCACAGCAGTGAAGCAGAGGAGGTTTTTTTTGTGTGTGTGTGACTTTGCTGACATGTCTGGCAGCTGTACATTTAATTCGCAGTGAGGGGTGGGATTAACTTCAGTCACTGATCAGAATGTAAGCGTTGCATTCTTCTAGGGCCACAACAACCCAAACAAAGGCGATGTGGATTTTCATCCATTCAGGGAGATACTGCAGGAGTTCCAGCAGTGAATTTCATGTTTGCACAAACAACATTAAAGAGAGATTGCATTTTTCTATGGCCTCTAAAGTGCTGCTCCCAAGTGAAGATTGAAAAGTAGGATGACACTGTGTCTCTACAGTTAGACAAGGCATAATTCATTTGAAATAAAAAATGTTATTCTGAAATATTTCTTATATTATCCTTCCAGTCATTTAAAAACTGTCCTATAAGACACAGACGTTCCAGTATTTGTATTAGCAAGAGTTCCTTTTTCTTCCCATCTTATTACATATTTCTTTTCTTTCTGCTTAAAACAGAAGGTTGGTATAGGGAGCCAGGAGTCCCAACACTTTTTGCTGGTTCATTATCTAATCTCGGTAGGTTACCTGAATGCTTCTGTTTATGTTAGTACCTTAGGCCCTGCTACTACTACAGAGAAGAATAAAGGTCAATCTCCTAACTGGTCCCTCTGCTGCCACTCTTACCTTTGCCCTCCTATTTGCCACAATGCAGTTATCTTTCTAGGATCATGTCATTCCTCTGATAAAATTCTTCAGTGACTTACCATTGACATTGTACAATAACTATAGTCCTTAAAGTGGTTTCCAAAGTGATCTATGATCTGGCGTCCATAGGCTTCCTATTATTATGCTCCAAAGTCCACCTAAATACTCTTTTATCTCTATATTCCTTACTCCTCCTCCATTGCAATTGCACCCATAACTTCTTATTCTTTCAGTATCATTCTAATTTTCTCTTAGTCTCTATGAAGGTCAGTATGACACACTGTGCTATAGTAGATCCTTCTCTGGATGTTGATGTTCTCTCTCCTTCACATCCCAGAGCACTTGTCTCTTAGAGCAAATTATTATTTATCACCTGTCTCTGATTTTAGTTTCTTTAGGGGACATGCCTGATGGTGCTCAGGGATATTTCAAAATTGGTGGCTCAAGAGTCGTTCCTAGAATTACTGGGAGACCAAGAGGTGCTAGGGATGAATTCTGGGTTGCTGCATACAAAGCATATGTGTGAGTCATCTAAGCCATCTCCCCAGGACTGGTTTCTAAAGGGAGTATTATTTCTGTCTTGTTCACTTTTTTATGTATAGTATATAGCACAATATCTGGCACATATTAAATTCTATAAGTACTCCATAAATTAAAGATTAATCTCAAATTAATTAAGACCTTATGATCATTCACTTAGACTATTGCTTTCCAGTTCTGAGTTCCGTGTACACCACCACACTAAAGGAATATGTAGCGTCTGACATGACTCCTTGCTTGAGCCAACAATTATTTTTTTGCTTATGACAGAGACAAAGTGAATGATGATGAATTAGAGATACTGAATTTCTTGACCACATCTTATATTTAAACTATGTAAATTATTCAATCTCTCCACGACTGTTAATTTATTTAACACAAATCCTTTAAGACTCCCTCACTGAAACAAATTATAAAATATGTAAGTATGGCCCCATTTGACATGTCAATGAGAGTTATGGAATTATATAGCTTATTTATCTATATTCCACACTCTTTACAGAAAGATAGATATTTCTTCTCAACTAAAGCTTAGTGACTAAGACTTGACTGTTGTATAAAAGTACCATAGTAAAATTTTTTTGTGTTGAAGTTCTTAATTTTGCAAAGTGTGAGATACTCTACAGAAGCAATTGAAGTAGCTGTCAAGAGAGAAACATCTTGTAGCTTTTAATAAATACCTCCCACACCTTCATAAGAGAGGAAGAGCAGTTTGGAGTGAGAGATGACTTCACTCATGCATAACTAATCCTAAAAAATTGTGAGAGACATTATAATACCCTGATCTACAGAATCCCTATTTTTCCTTAATATTCTCTGTAAGAGGGCATGTTGTACTACTTAAAAGAGCAGTGGAAAGTAAAGTACATTGTAATAACATAGATAAAATATTTTTCCAAATATTGCAAAATTACATTAGAAGCACTTTTAGTTGCAATAATTAAAATCTCTTCTACAATTTTTCACTGTATCTTGAGAATTGGTGACTTTTCTTGGAACTCCTAAAGATACAAAATGATAAAAACCTTCCTTCCAAGGCAGCAGCCTTTACTTGACCTTCTCACATTTGACTGGGCGTCTATAAAAATCTGCTTTTCACACTTTGACTCACAGTTCCTCGTCTTCTTTTCACAGCATGACAAGACACAATGTAATAGCTGTGGTCATAATTAAAGAATTAAAATTTATTTTTGAAATCTCCAAATTGGGAAGCTTTCTGAGGAATCTAAACTTGTATTGGAGCTTCAAGTCTTTCTGATGCCGCCCATCAGGAAACAAATACACATTCTGTGCTTTTCGTGATATGTAATTTTTATTTGTGTGAAAAATTCATGTAGGTTCACGATCACAATCATGATCATCCTGTTGTTCATCGATTGCCTCAAGCAGGCACCAGTAACGTCTCCTTCTTCCTAGCCCTGAGATTTCAAAAGAGCCATTTCAATGCTCTTTCAGGGTTAGGAGAATGGGACCCATCATTGTTACTGGTACTT